ATATATATATATATATATATATATATATATTACATTTATTACCTTAAAATCATGAACTCCTGACTTGAATGTTAAATAACTATAATATCCTTAACTTAGGTTGTGACTTTTTCGATGAGTTATGACTTCTCCGATAAGTTGTGACTTTTTTCAAAGGGTTGTGATTTTTCGATGAGTTGTGACTTTTTTAAATATTTGTGACTTTTCCAATAAGTTGTGACTTTTTCAAATGGTTGTGACTTCGCAGAAAGGTCATGACTTTTCATATAAGACACAAAAAACACTTGTTCTTACTACCCTTTGTTAACTATAAATAGAGGGGCTTCCTCTCAGTTTTCAACCACAATTTTTTAATCTTCTACTCTTCTTTTCTTACATTTTAAATTTTTTGTGTGATTTATTGTCGTTGAGTGAGTTCGAAGCTTAGTGAAATATGAGGTACCACTATATTGATGAAGTAAATCGTTATATCCAAAGAAGGTATATTCCATAACCTCGAGTACTTGAGAAAAATAATTTTGGTGATATAATAATTATTTTTTTGCTTAATATATACATTAGTATGTAATGTTCCAATATATGAAGTTAAAATGATGTACTCTAAATTCATTTTTTTAATTAACAGCTTCTGTTGTGATGTAGATATATGCTTCTGAATATCTTTTTTCCAAAATTTAGAGAATTTTCACGATTTGTTTTTTTCATGCTCAAGACAAAGAAAATAAATGATACTTATGTGATTTAGATTGCCAGGAAGTTTGCTTCAAAATAGTTAATACTATATAAGCATTGCCCTTTTGTTTTACTTATTTGCTATTTCTTAATATTTTAGTATTTTAGACGAAGAAAAGTTCATATGACTTGTAATAACGTCAGTTGATGTTTGTATTAGTTTAATTATTATTATTTATTTAATAGCTAATTTTTATGAGATAAATATTTTCATTAATGTAAATATATATTTATATTTGGGTAGGTAATTGTATTTAAAGTAAAGTATTATATATGTCACGAATGTATTATCAAGTTAACAAGATCTTCTAACTTCAAAAATACATTATTTTAAAATGTTCTGAGATCTTTTTTTTTTATAAAAAAACTCACAACAAATGTAAAAGTATGTGAATATATATGAATCATTTAAAATTTATCATTTACAAAATAAATTTTATATTCAGTAATATGGAATAAACATTTCTATTTTGTCCCTACACTAAATTAAAATCAAATAACTATAGAAAAATAGTAACATTAAGGATGTGTTTGGTATGAAGGGAAATGTTTTCCTGGAAAATGTTTTCCTGGAAAACAAGTAGACTTTGGACTTGTTTTCTCATGTTTGGTTGGTGAGTAGAAAATATTTTCCGGAAAAGTTTTTTGTGTTTTTGATAAATGAATGAAAAATATTTTTGAGAAAATATCTTTTATTGTTACTAGAGAGTAGAAAATAATTTTTGAATTGAAACTGAAAATATTTTTTGAAAATAAACTTAAATTTTTTTTGGGGGGAGGGTGGGGTGGTGGGGAGGGGG